GTACTGWTTGCCTTTGTTCCAAGCTTCATTATTTCTTGTAAAAGATCCAAAACATACTTCCTTGATAAATAAAAATTCCATGTTTTGATCTTGCAACTTCAATGCCAAAGAAGTACCTAAGCTTTCCAAGATCCTTAATTTCAAATTCTCTGTGTAGATTCTTCTTCAAACTATCAATCTCACTTAGGTTATTCCCTGTGACAACAATATCATCCACATTTATAATTAGGACTGACATCAAGAATCCCCTCCGCTTCACATACAAGGTATGGTCAGATTGAGTCTAAGTGTAGCCAAAAGCAATCAATGCCTTCCTGAACTTGTCAAACCATGCTCTGGGTGACTGCTTTAGACCATAAAGTGACTTCTTAAGTCTGCATACCTTTCCCTTTTCAGCATCACTACAGAAACCAGCAGGAAGATCCATATACACTTCCTCTTGCAGATCTCCATTTAGGAAAGCATTCTTCACATCAAGTTGAAACAAGGGCCAAGAGTATGTGGCAGCAAGAGGAAGAAGTATCCGAATAGAAGTCATCTTTGCAACTGGTGCAAAGGTCTCTAAGTAATCAATTCCATAGGTTTGTGTGTACTCTTTTAAAACAAGTCTGGCCTTATACTTTTCTATACTTCCATCTTCCTTATATTTGACTGTGTAAACCCATCTGCATCTAACAGTCTCCTTGCCCTCAAGTAGATCCACAATCTCCCATGTTTGATTCTTAATTAAGGCTTACATCTCTTCCTGCATAGCTGTCTTCCACTCAGGTTTGGAAAGAGCCTCACTGACACCCTTAGGTATAGACACAGTCAAGAGAGGAAATGAAAACACGGTAGGAAGGAGAAAGTCCACTGTAGGATAAATACTGTGAAATACAATGAGCAATACACTTTTTCTTCCCTTTTCAAAAAGCAACAGGAAGGTCCAGGTTATCTGTAATGGGATTAGTAGAATCAATGGGAATTGAAACAGTAGAGGGATCAAGAGGAATACCTGAATCCGTGTCAGCTGAATCTGGAGTCTCCAAGGAACCGACAAGAAGTGATGTGAGTTCTGTTGTAGTGGAATCAACCTCCCTGTGAAGTCTCTGTCGTGAGTAACACTAAGAAGCAGGACGCAAGGGAGGTGGTAAGGTAGGTGACATAGAAGGATCAGACACAGGAGTGAAGACAGGAACTAGAACTGGAAGAGGGATAGACTGCTCACTCACTTCCCCAAATCAGTACCCTTTCTGATTTTCTACATATCCAAGGAAGACACACTTCTTTGACTTCGGATCAAGCTTCGAACGATGAGGACCAAGAATATGTGAAAAGCAAACACACTCAAACACTCTGAGAGGAATATGGAACATCTCCCCCTCAGGAAAAACGAGACTGAATGGGGTGCTGAATCCAAGTATACGGGAGGGCACCCTGTTAATCAAAAAGACTACTGTGAAAACTGCATCACCCCAAAAACGAACTGGAATAGTAGATGTGATCATCATGCTTCTTGCAATCTCAACAATGTGCCTATTCTTCCTCTCTACAACACCATTCTGCTGTGGACTATAAGAATRGCTGCTCTGATAAACAACACATATTCTAACAAATACGAAGCAAGATGTTTTTAAAAATATTCCCTTGCATTATCTGATCCGAACACCTTTACTCGTATCCCAAACTGTGTTAGCACCATCTGATGAAATTGCCTTACCAAGGATGGTACCTCATCTCGGGATCTCATTAAGTAAATCCAAGAATATCGAGAAAAATCATCCACAATAGGAGAAAACATCGATAACCACCCATAAAAGGAACATGATAAGGTCCCCACACATCAAAATGAATAAYATCAAAAGGAGATGAACATCTTTTATTACTAGCTTTAAAGGAATGTCTACAATGTTTTCCAAGTTGACAACCTTCACACTCTATTCTTGACAAATTAACAGACACAAAAGGCTTTGGAAACAAGAAACTCAAAAAACAAAAAGACAAATGACCTAAACGATTATGCCAAAGCATAACCTGACTTACTGACCCTGATTCACTATCCCTGACATGATGACCCTGATGAGGAGGAAGCACATCCAGGAGGTAGATTTCATTCTCTTCATGACCACTCCCAATCGTCCTCTTTGAATCCAGATCCTGCAAAATATAATGACCAGGAGAAAAAATTACAGAACAGTTCAGGTTCTTAGTCAAACTACTAACAGATAACAGGTTAGTATTCAATTTGGCAACATGAAGGACAAAGGGAAGGGAAATGGAATCATTAATCTTGACAGACCCCTCCTCAGCAATGGGAACATGAGATTCATCAATTGTGGAGACTTTGTCTCTGCCAGAACAAAGCTGGTAAGAGGAAAAGATAGTGGAACTATGAGTCATGTGCTTTGAGGCTCCAGAATCTATAATCCAAGGAGATCCCTCCTTACCTATAGTGCAATGGCATGTGAACTACCTGTGAGTGAGCAAAGGAAGTAGAGTGTGCTCCACCAGAACCACCTGTAGCTGGCTATCCACCTATTACTTAATTAGAACTGACTGTATCCCACTGATTCAGGAACTGCCCATATCTCTCAAGTTCAGCCCTCACTGCAGCAGCTGCAACAGACTCTAGAGTAGCTATAGTGGGAGGAGCCGGTATGTTACCAGTGACTACCATGTGAGCATTTCCCTTCTTGTTTTTGAGTCTATTCGGCACCAGATGAGGATGAAGTTTCCAACAAGTATCTCTTGTGTGTTTAGGCTTCTTACTGTAGTCACAAATTAAATCATTTTTATCTTCCTTCTTGATTTCACTGCCACCCCGGTCTCCACTTTGTTTAGGTCTTACAGTACTAACCAAGGCAGATTGATCAAAACTAGAATTTTCATCATCACATTTCTCCTGCTCTCTTCCCCTGACACAAAGGCATATGCCTGGGAGAGAGTAACACTGTCCCTGGAAAGAATATGTTGTCTTGCAAAATCATACTCGGGATTAAGGCCAACAAGAAATTCAAAAACCCTATACTTCTCTAGGAGCTTCTAGTAGGCAACTGCATCCTTAGTGGTTTCCCAAACAACTGTCTCCAGATGGTCAATCTCCTGCCACAGGGTTTTAAGGGCTGAAAAATAAACAGCAATAGGTCTATGTCCCTGCCTTGTAGCAATAATCTAATTTCTCAACTCATAAGTCCTAGCAACATTCTACCTCTGTGAATAGGTTTCTACAACCCCATCCCATATTTCCTTAGTTGTATTTGCCCACAAAAAAATTTTACTTATTTGGGGCAGCATCGAATAACACAGCCAAGTCATCACCATATAGTTTTCTTGTACCTGTCGGGAGCTGTTAGTTTTGGGTTTCACTTCTTTACCAATGATATACCCTAACATCCCACGAGAACCAATGGCCATCTTTGCAAATTGTGACCATTCTAAGTAATTTGAACCATCCAACTTAACTGTAGTAATGGTTCCAGCCTCGAAAAGTTCTCTGGCACCTCCTCTCACTGGTCTCATTTCACTCCCAGGCTTGTTTTCAACTCCGCTACCTCCATAATTATCAAAATGGGGGTAGAAGGTTACTGTAATATGCAAGAATATCAAATAAATCACTTTTGGTACCAACGATACCCTTCTGGTGCCCTAGATGGTCCTCTCACAAAAGATTCCTTTTCTACGAAACGGGAGAAGAGAGAGAAGAGGTAGCCTCTCTCTCCAAAAACCTCCAAAACAGGCAAGACTTGAACTGCCCCCCCAAAAAACTCCAAGGAACCCTAAAAAATTAGGGCACCACTTCCTAGGTCAAAATTGAAGAGTCCAACAGAAACAAGACTCTCCCCCTTTCTCCAGTTTTTCCTAATTTTGATGGGAAACCCTAAACTAGCTACAGGGCAAAAGAGATCCACCAAAAAATCCAAAAACTGGGCTTACCTGAGATCTTTGATCAGCCTATTAAATCACCATGCAGTCGGTCGATCTAGGGCTGCATGATAGAACAGCTCAAGGAACCTTCAGCCTGCTCTGATACCAAGTAAAAATCACTGATTGCAGTTTTAGATAAATTCCTTGTGAAGAGAAAGAAGAAGAAGATGAAGAGTTTCAGCAGTAGAGAAGAAAAGAGGAGAAGAAAAAGGAGTAGAATGTCAACCAGAATTGAATTAGTTCTAGCCGCCAACCCCTCTTTGTATTATATACTCAACTTAAAAGAATAAGAGATTACAAGAATGCCCTTAGTAAGGCGGCTACTTAAGTAGCTGAACAGTTACAACTTAAAAACATAAACTAATGGGCCTAAAGCCCAACAACTTCCTAACTTAACAACTTAAAAATAAGAAATAAATAACTGGGCCCAATAACTAGAAATCGKCTCAACTCAACACCCATAAAGCTATTTTGTCAGAGTTGGGGCTCTAGTTGTTAAAGAAAACTCATTTAAGAGGAGATTGATTTTAAGTTCTCTATTAGATGCAGAGATCTCTAAAGCAACATTTGCTTTTGCATTTTCTTATATCCTCCCATTTGCTCTGTTTCATTCTCAATTGAATGGTTTCTTGATCTCCAATAAGGACCAATAACAGCAATTTAATGAAAAAGAAAAAAAAAAAGGAAAAGGAGATTTATCACTGCAAAGGCACATGTGTTGTCTCCTCCAAATATTATCTTTCATCTTTCTCATCATCATCTTCTCCTCTTTTTCAATTCTACTTTTCCTTTCGCTTTTTCATTTCTTTTCCCAACAGTTGAGTTGTCATGTTGAGGGCATTGACCAGTATCAGGTTGTAATTATCACAATAGTACATAAGGAATTAGGGATAGAGATTGATACTAGTCCATAGATGTATCCACAATATATATGTGGACATCAGCCAATATGACCAACAATTAAAAGACATCAGCCAATAAGTTTTAATATTTTAATTTTTGGTCCATAGATAAAATGCAATGGACATGAAAAGAAAAAGAGCAAAGCAAAATACAATAATATCTGCTCTCAAATTTACTTTTTCCAGAAACATTACCTTTATTAGTTTCAAGCAGGACCCTCCGACTCTCTCTTCCCAAATCTATAATCTCATTATAGTTAAAAATAGTTAAGCCCTCGATTACATAATTAGAAAGGCATGATTTCTCCCCCCAAAGAAGAATCACAGATCTTATCACTGCCTTGGAAGAGAAACCTTCTGCAATCCGCTTGAAGAAATCCGGATTGTCCATGATGAGTGCAGTACTGTAATCATAAGAAGCAAAATAAAGCAGATGATCAGCAATACTTTAAAGGGTGAAGACTGGTTGAGAGACCAAGTTATGGATCCAATTAACAAGTTTCCATAAAATTGATCAAGCATGTAAAGAAAAATAGAACAGAATATACCCTTCAAACAACAAGCAAATTAAACACACTTAATCCTTTTTAGAAGACTTTATCTGCTTCCTCAGAAAATCACCACCTTTGCATTATATTAGAATTTATAGGAAGAGAAAAATAACCATATATAAATTTGAGGAAACCCAGAAGGAAATCCATCAGTAAATTTAAGACAATCTTTTATGCTCCTCAGGAAGATTTGAAGCGACTTCGACTACCTGACTTTTTCCTACACCTGAGAGGTGGTGCATTGTTGCTAACAGAGTTCWAAGATACAAAATCACAGAATTTTGAAAGGTATTGGAAGGGGATTTTAATTTGTGTACTTAAATATTATTATACTTATTGGAGAAAAAGGCAAAACTGTTTTTCATTTCTCCTGCTGTAGTACATTTTTTACGAGTAACTTCAACTTTATTAATATAAACTTAAAAAGAAAGATATAGTACAACCAACCATTGATAGGGTAGTGATAGGGTAGTGATTACTACCCTATCTTAATGATAATAAACAAGTTACAAACAAGCCAAATACATTAAATTTCTAGTATCCATCCCCTTTCTTAGCTAATTTGTCAGCCAATCCATTTTCTGATCTTAGCATTCGTTGAGTCTTCAAATCTATGCTCTTTGTTAGCCAATTAATCTATTTCATTTCATTTCTATAAACCCACACCACTTACTTCCTGTTTTCCAAGGAGAGGAACAGACTGTGAGTTCTCCCCGAAACTCTCCCCCTGAGGAGAACCATCAGAGAAAAAGTATGTAGACTCAGAAAAGGTAACATCCATAGTGACAAATCTGCTCCCCAACACAAGATCATAACAATACCCCTTTTGGTTTTCAGCATACCCAAGGAAAACACATTTCTTTGCCTTAGGATCCAATTTCTTGCGATGGGATCCAAGAATGTAAACAAAGGAAGCACACCCAAAAACCCTCAGAGGTATATGAAACATCTCCCCATCCGGAAAAAGAAGATTGAATGGCACCTTAAACCCTAAAGTACGTAAAAGGACACAGTTAAATTTGTATCAGAAACCGGGGACCCTCAATTCAAGAATGGACTAAGGGCTGAGATCAAGAAAGAGATGGTAACTACTCGAGTCTTTGACTTTGAGGATGCTTGCCAAGTTGTTGTCAAAATTGAGAAGAGTTTAAAGCAAACAAATACAAGGCAATTTGTATCACAAGCCGAGGAGTATGTAGCTCATAAGCAAGCTGATGGGGGAAAGACTTCTAGGTTGGAATATTCTAATACCAACTCTAATAAGCCTAGTGGGTCTAGACCTTATCAAGGTTCAAAATTTCGATACGTATCGTATTAGGGGCTTCCCAATACACCCCTACAAGGGGCATTTCGGTGTTTAACCTAGTTCAGGAGGTAGACAGGCCTTAAACCAGCCCTTCTGAACCAGGTTTAAAAAAAATAAAAAATAGAGGAGCAAGCCCCGATACAGTCCGATATGCCCCTACCGACATATCGGGTTGTATCGATATTTTGAACCTTGGACCTTATCAAAGGCTAAATATAAGAGTAAATCAGTTGCTAGTGGTGTTACTCAAAAAAAAGAAAAAAAAAAAAAAACCTGATACTAATTGCTTTAGATGTGGAGGAAAGGGACATATAGCTTACCAATGTCCTACCAAAAGCCTTCATATCATTTATGAAGAAGGCATTAAAACGGTAGATGACCCAAGTGGTGACTTAGATAAAGAAGAGGATTATTCCTTCACTAATGATGATGCTTTAGATGAAGACAACAACTATGTTGGTGTAGTTCGGTGTATTCTTGCATCCCCAAAGGAAGAAATCAAAGAAGATTGGCTTCGTACAGTAATATTTCAAACTATAGTAAAGAGTGGAGATAAGTATTGTAAGCTTATCATAGATGGTGGCAGTAGTATAAATGTGATTTCTGGAGGCACTATGGATCTACTAAAGTTGACACCACAACCATACAAGATTGCTTGGTTGATAAGACAACAATTCCGATAACTAAATGAACCCTTGGTTACTATTTCTTTTGGTAGTTATTTTGATTCTATTTGGTGCGACATTGTTCCTATGAATATTACACACATTTTGCTTGGAAGGCCTTGGTTGTATGACAGGGATATCTACCACTGTGGAAGGGAGAACACCTATCACTTCCTATTTAATGGGAAGTGAGTTATCATGAAGCCAATGTCACCGGAAGTTATTAAAAGGCATGCTAGACCACCTCAAAAGGAGACTACAGCCCAAGGGCCTATTACTGAATCTAAGAAAAACCCACTGCATTTGCTCTCCAGAAAAGAGTTTGAAGTAGAAAGCAAGGAGACAGGAGTTGTATATGTTGTAATATCCAAGGAGGTAAAGCAAGTAGATGTTGTTCCACCTACTGAAATGCCTAAAGAAGTGGTCCAAGTGTTGGAAGAGTTTTCATATTTGGCACTAGAAGAGCTACCTAATGAGTAACCTCCCATGAGAGACATTCAACATGCTATTGACTTGCCCATCTTACCAGCTTATCGTATGAATCCTATAGAGCAAGCTGAACTTAAACGGCAAGTTGATGACCTCCTAAAAGAAAGGTTTTATTAGAGAAAGCCTTAGTCCATGTGTTGTTCCAACTCTTCTCACTCCAAAGCAAGATGGTTCTTGGCATATGTGTGTTGATAGTAGAGCAATCAACAAGATTACTATCAAGTATATGTTTCTAATTCCTAGGCTTGATGACATGCTTGATATGATGGCTAGAGCGACCATTTTTTCTAAGATCAATCTAAGCAATGGCTATCATCAATTACAGATTAGGCCTAGTGATGAGTGGAAGACAATATTTAAGACAAAAGATGGATTATATGAGAGGTTAGTTATGCCATTTGGACTAACCAAAGCCCCTAGTACTTTCATGAGGATGATGACCCAGGTACTTTAATCCTTCATTGGTTGTTTCCTAGTTGTTTATTTTGATGATATTCTTATATATAGCCATAGTCCAGAAGAGCATATTTATCATCTACGTCAAGTGATAAGAGTTTTACGCCAGGAGAAACTCTACATCAACTTAAAGAAATGCTCTTTCATGTCACCCAAAGTTATATTTTTGGGGTTTGTTGCTTCAGCTAAAGGCATAAGTGTTGATCCCGAGAAAGTAAAGTCTATCTTAGAATGGCCCCTCCCTATCAATATTCAAGAGGTTAAAAGCTTCCACGGCCTAGCAACTTTTTATAGAATATTTATTAAGGGGTTCAGCACTATCAAGGCTCCAATTGCTGATGCAATGAAAAGAGGTGAATTTAATTGCACCAAGGTAGCAAGAAAGGCATTTGAGACTATCAAGAAGAAAATGACAGAAGCACCTATTTTACAACTTCCAGACTTCTCTAAAGTCTTTGAAGTGGCATGTGATGTATCCGGTGTAGGAATTGGAGGGGTTTTCATGCAGGAAGGCCATCCCATTGCATTTCATAGTGAGAAATTAAATGAAGCCAAGCAGAATTATTCAACTTACGACAAGGAGTTATATGCAGTAGTGCAAGTTCTACAAAATTCGTGACACTAAATATCTAAGGAGTTTGTGCTCTATTTAGATCATGAAGCTTTAAAGTACTTGAATTCCCAAAAGAAACTAAATGACTTGGACATTCATGGAATAATATCTAAGGAGTCGGGCCATTATATTTCTGTTATAAGAAACAATAATAAGAAACAAATACATAACGGAAATAAAATGGGCCCAAGCCCATACTATTAACTCTCACAACAGGCTATACGAATACTATGGCTAATACCTCTAGCCAAGTTTTGGTTTCAGGGAAGATGGTTGGTAGAGGGCGTACGGTGGATGGTTTCTACATCTTGGAGCAGTTGACAATTGATAAGGCATCATATCCTATGAGTTTGTAAAGTCCATATGTTTTGTCCTAAAATAAAAGCCATTATTGGTTAGGTCATTTTTCATTTTTTACCATACTTGTAATAGAAATTAGCTGATAGAGAACTTTTGCCTTAGTAACCTAGTTGTAAAATGACAATTTAAAGATCATAACATTATAGCTTACAGAAAGCTTTGCTAATATCATGTATAAATTGAACTTAGGAATCAAATATCCATTAAAATGGCAATGATAAAAATGGCATACTGACCTCTCTGAATGATTATATATCTGCAATAATTCTTCAGTAGATGACCTTGTTCCCCTCACTACATTAATTGCTCCAATAGCCATGATCCCTATGCAAAAATGATGTTGCAAGGTCAGTGTTGATCAATGTTTAGAGAACCAGACAGGAACAGCCAGTTGGACCGAAAAAACCATAAATTAATCCATTGACCGGTTCAGTCATACCCTATAAACAATCCGACCAGTTTCTCCAACCAGAGAACCGGTGAACCAGTCCCGGTTTTATAAAACTGGCCATTTTCTCAATTCATTTTTACCTATATGCAGATTTCCAAAGGCCATAGCTTTGTGCTAAATTGTCTAAGGCATCTTGTCCCACTATTTTTGCCAAAAAAAACTTTTCATCTCAAGTCTTAATTTTTAATATAAAAATTGAAACTATAATAAAAATACACATTTTATATGCAGAATATAATTATATATTTTATATATAATTAATATTATTATGTATATTATATATATATATATATATATATTATATTGTGGTGGTGTCACAGGTTGACTGGGTTGACCTAGCACCCATCCAATTGAACCAGTGAAACATGACCTGGAGGGAAAAATGATTCTACCTCCGGTCCAGTTCTCTAAACATTTGCATTGATTATTGCTCATGTGTATAGACTAGCATAACTAACTCATCATCAAAATCTTCACCTAACTATATGGTGTCTGCTACATGAATCCTGTGTCACCATTCCATTCTGTTCAGTGCCATGGACTAGCATAACTATCTACAATACTTAAATGGAATGTACAATACTCGTATATAATAAAACAAAAAATAGTGATTTAATGAATTAACGCATTGATGCAGAAGCCAAACAGTCAAAACTAAATTATTTTTGGGTTTTTATGTATTCTTATATATTAAATAATATGAGTATTTTGGTCATTGTACATGTTGAATGTTGGGTCCATCATATTAGTTTGATTCATCGAGTAATGGTTTAGTTGTGCTTAAAATTTCAGTTATTGGTAGAGTTAATCTAAATTCTAAATTTGGAGTTTGGAGTATACATTGCAGAACCATAATAACGAGTTTCATTACTTTAACAATGAGCATGTCTGGCTCAAGACAGTCAAGGTAGGTGTAATGTTCCAAAAATACAGCTAATGAATTTTGAAGATTATTTTCTGCTTCTGTGACTTTTGGAGAGTGGTGCCAAAAGCCCTACAGTAATTTTAAGGAACTGTAGGGAGCAATTCTTAGGGTTTTCTTTGTTCTAGTTTTTCTCTTCCAAGTTTTTTCTAAGATCAGCCATTCGCAGTCATCAAACACCTGGAAAAGACAATCAAAGACTAGTATTCACAACATAAAATAAAGGATTGAACTAAACCCAGTTAGGTGTATCTCAATTTCCTTTAATTGTCAGCTTTCTCGTACTTTCTCTAGAGAGAAATTTCTCTCTCTAAATCATTCATATTAAACTTTGATAGAAAAAAAAAAAAAAACAGATTTGATTCAGCCATTCCCCTTATCATATAAACCCAGGTTTATTTCTTCCTCTCTTTTCTTGCACCTTCTCTTTTAACTTCATCAATCCAAACTATTATTATTTACTCTTCTTTCTGTTTGATATAAAGCAAGTCTAGCCAGTAGTCTTTCAACGAATCTGTCAATGACTGGTCACAAAATCTCAGTCTTGTCAAACTGCTTTTGTTTATAGTATATTCCCCCATTAAACAAATTTCCTCTTTTCCCAGTCAAAAGATATTATATCAACATTCTTGATCCTTGTTCCCTTTCCACTATTGGATCCCATATAGCACAAACATAAAGATTTACAATATGTTCAGGCTTCTGAAGTTCACTTGACCATATTCTTACCCTTGTTTAGGGAGAACCAAGAATTTCAAACATCCACCACCATTATGGTATATGACAAATGTAGGTTGCAAAAAGAAAATGTTAATAATAAGGTTAAAGAATAAGACCATTAGAGTGTACCTTGATCTGCAATGAGCCACCTGCATGAGTTGTCAGCAAAAAGTGCTACTTTTTCATCTGGTTTTATTCCAATAACTCTTAGGCCTTCTGCGAAATTCAAAATTTCCTGCTCGAGCTGTCATTGGCCAAGGAAAAGACTTGAGCAGAGCCTATAAAGAATTAACTTGTTCTATTGAATAATCCAAGACAATTAATTTAACAAACTAAATAAAAATGAGACTGCTAATAGGACATTACAAGTTAAAAGTAAAGAAACAAATAGAAATCTGAGAAGACTATGGAAAGAGCACATAACATCATTTGCTGATCCTTTGGTCAACAAAGTTGAAAATCTTGTGGTCCTTTTATGATTAACCCTGTTGAGAGATTGAGCACTATGCTATGGGCCTTTATTTATTTGCTTTTTATTTTATTTATTTTAATGTTTTATGTTGAGCTTCTTTGGTTATTGGGCTTGGACCTTATCTGGCCTTTTAATTAGGTTCCGTTTGGCAAGTCTATTTTGGAAGGTCTTCTAGAAGCTCTGACAGACAAAAGACGTAGTGGGCTTTTTCATAAAGATCTTCGCAGCCCATAGACCATTTGGTTAGAATCATTATTCTTAGAGCTGTTAGAAGACCACAACAGCTCAAAGACCGTTTGGCAACATAAGTCTATGTACATTGCTGATCTAGCCAAGTCAGTGCATATTTGACACTTGACTCAGCATGGGTGGGTCCCATTCACATACATGGCAGTCCAACGTGATCAGATGCCTTCTACATCTACAGATGTCTCCGGGAAGGAGCCTCTCCCCTCATCTGGGAATCGCATTCCCTGTTTTAGAAAATCTGCATTTTCAATGATCAATCTTGAACCAAAAACCGAACCAGATCTGAAACCAGAAGCAGGAGAGAAATATACCTGGTACGGAGAAACAATATCTCCCAATGGAGGTGTTCACGCCCAAGGAATGAACCAAAAACTGCTCCCACTGTAGATGGCACAGTGTAGGATGGAGCAAAATCAGCAGTGTTCGTCCAACGAACCAAACCCTTCACAAGAATTCGCTGGAGGCTATGAGCACAACTTCAGATCACCCTTTCTCCAAAGGCTGATATCAAGATCCAATCTTGATCGTTCCTGCTTGAAAGAGGAGATCGAACTGGCAGTTATGGCGGTGGCAGGAAGGAAGCGGCAAGGAGAAAATAGCACAGTCTCACTGGGTGCTATGTTCTCTCTCTGAATTTGAGAATGTCATCTTCTAAAAGCTGCCACCCCTTCCTCCTTTTATAACCTTAAAGGGATCAGCTCCTAATTCCATTAGGAGTTGTTCATCCAAATCATATTTGGATCTGAATTCCCTTTGAGAGATAAGGATAGACCCTTATCTTATCTGCAAATTAGATCAGCCCTCTGCTAATCTAATCTCAAATCCACCCCTTTAGTTTAACTGATCAAATCAACCCAGTTCGAAATGGGCTTTAGGCCCAATAAGTATATGTGCTCACTTAGCCTTCCAAACTGCTACYCAGTTGGGTTTCCTTGTAAGGTGTGGAACCCAAGCATTGATCTACACATCAGCCACAAGGGTTCGGCCCAGCCTTTGTTACAAGGCCTAGCCGAATTCACTAGAAAGCCCAATGAACCCCCTGAGCCCATCACATGGACTCTATGGGCCCAACACTTACACTAAGTGGTCCTTGGGCCAAGCCACCTTGTAACACCCAGGGACTGTGGGCAGATGCAAGATTAGCCCATCA